AACAACATCAGCAGAGCATCAATAAAACAAGTCATGGAACAACTTGCAACTAGTGACCACAAACCCATCTTAATCACCAGCCAAGTCTCTCTCCACACCGTATCAACTAGCACATTGCACTCGCACCTTGCCCACGCTTACACGTCGTCACGAAATGAGCATAAAATAATATAATATACACTGCAATTCACAAAATACAAAAATGAATACATAATACATAGTCATTTACATAACATTGTATTGAACATGAATCTACTGACATAAAAAGGATGTCATTAAATGTGTCTTTAAAGATTTTAATATTGGTCACAAGTTCTTATTAATTCTAAAATTGCTCCTCTTGACAACTGAGTAGGGAAGGGAAGAATCGTGGTCAAGGTTTGTTGGTTGGTTTTTTGTTGCTTTTTGTTGTTTTCTTTTTAGTGGGGTGTGGGGGGGGGGCAATCTTAATACATCATCACTTAAAAAGATAAATTAGGTTATTGTCGACGTTAAGATAAAGATAGTATAATTAGTAATTATTTGTGATTTGTTATCAATTTTTAAACTTTCAGCTTAAGCATAAAAACCAGGTAGGCTATGTGATGACACAAGCTAAAAGGCCTACTTTCCTTTTCAATTAAAAAAAAAAGAAAAATAAAGCAACTTGGCACTCGGTACATTTTCTTCAAGGTTTCTGCAATCGTCAACATTTTGCCAGAGCTACAAAAAACTAACCTAAAGTTTTTTATGTTTCACGGAGTTTGCAACAAGATAAGGTTATACACGTGCAGAAGATTAGAGGTGTTGCACGAGAGTAACGAGCACAAAAAGACAGGAGAGATCAGGACGACAGATGTTTAAAAGAAAGACGGAGCAAATCACTCCACCAGATCACCCGCCAACCATCCGCTAGCCTAATACAGGGTGCCCATTCGTGGTGGGTCGGGTCGGGTCGGTTTGTTAGACAAATTGAGGGTGCAAAGCGACTATCGCAGCACAAGCCGATCGCGCCCGACTCGTCGCCTCAAAAACAAACGCATCATCCCGACCAGATCCGACCCGATCTCATCTACAATAGGCACCCGGTAACAAGAATCCACAAGAGTTCACGACTTGTAAGATGCCTGAAAACTGTCAACGTCAGGTGTACGTCTTCTGCTCAGCAAATGGGCGGTTGGTGGGTGGGTGCATCTGATGGGATCTACTTCTCTGCCTACGTCTGTTAGTCTCACACATCTGCCTGTCTGGCTTTTCCAAATTTTAAATATCCATAATTGGGGCGATATTATGTTTCTCTTTACCCACACTGACTTAGCTCAACTTTGATCCATTAGGAAGCGGGCTTTGACCCTGCCAGTCAAGGCAAACTGGACTGAGAGGGACAATTCAGAAAGACTGAAATACTAGATAAAAATTCACCCCACATGGGAATCAAACTCGGGTCTTCTGCGGACGCTGATGAAGCACCTAACCCTAGACGGTCAGAGATCGTATAGACCTAACCACAACACCAAAGACTGCAGCCTATATAGCGAGAACATGTTTGGCATGATCTCCAGGATCGATGCAGCATGGAGGGGAAAGGTACTTCGGGGGTCGAAAGTATGAAAGGAAAAGATTAGCCTATCTAGGACGTCGACAGTTTGAAGGACGTCAAGGAATAGGTGACACTGTTTGTCAAATATACACACACTCTGTATACTGTGTATTGTGGGGATATGCATTTCATGTGTTCATGTGTGTGTGTGTGTGTGTGTGTGTGTGTGTGTGTATGTGTGTGTGTGTGTGTGCGTGTGTGTGTGTGCGTGTGTGTGAGTGTGTGTGCATGTGTGTGCAAGTGTGTGCGAGTGTGTGTGCGTGTGAGTGTG